GTGTGTTCTGCCTCCTGCTGATGCCACAGCCATCGAGGGAGGGAAATGCTCAACCAGCAAACCCTCCCAGCAGTAACAGCAGAACCCAAGGCAGCCAAAATCCAGGAATACAGCAGGGACCAGGTTTTGTTTCTGAGTGGGTTGGGAGCAGAGAAGCCCTGTGTATTTTCCCAGAAATCAGGGGAGCTGATTTCCCGCTGGGAGTGTGTGCTGGTCGTTGGGATTACAGTTCTCTTTCATTCCCACGTCCCTTCTGTAGCTCAAGCAGCTCTCACAGGATGCCATGAGCTTACACAGGGGTCAGGCACGAGGTGTTTGCCCTGTTGAAGTCTTGCTGCAGTCCAACACTCGACAGTACATGGCGCGTGGGGCCGCGCTGCCTTCGCAGGGATCGCGCTCCCGGCGCAGCTGGGACAGGGATGGAGCTCGGTGCCCAGCTCCTCCTCACCTGTGCAGGAATACCTGGAGACAGGATGGTTCTGGGCTGCTCTCTGTGAGCACACACAGGTTGGCAGCTTTCACTTAATACTGCCTTTTTTCCCCCGTGTCTTTGCATCACGTTTCAGTTGAGTTTTTAATAGCTTTTTGGAACTTCCTAGGGGGATCCCAGAGGCAGAAAACAAAAAAAACCTGGAGAATTCTTATGGTGTGTGCTCTGCCAAAGAAGCTGGCAGTTCTGTTAACAAGATCACTTCCCCGTTACATGAATTATTGTTGCTTTTAATTAGAAGTAATGCTGTAGTTTGAACGTACAGCACAATGGGGTATAAAATGCAGTTCAGCACAGATACCAAAGCTGGTTTTTCCAATTACAAACCTATTTAGAAGGTGGATACACTAGAAATGATGGAATGCCAAGCTGCAGATGAGGTGAGCAGGCTGGGATACACGTGCACCCCTGCACACGCTGTTGTACAAAAGAGGAGAGTGCTCTGGAAAACAGTTACGTATGCATAATTAACTTAATCTGAAATTAATGCTAATTTCTGCAATTTGCGATGCAGATTCACTATTAGTACTCTAGTCCACTTCCACTGTATTGAGAAGTTGAGGATGCAAAGCCTCAAAGTGATGAATTCCACACTGGGGAGTGCCAGAGCAGGGTTCAGCACAGGTTCTGGGGTGTTCCATGTGCTGGGGGTGTGTCTGTGTCTCCTGCTGTGGGATTTTACATGGATTTTACTTCCCAGCGTGGCCTGCCAGTGGCACACTGGGGCTCCTCTCTGTGCCAGCACTCATCCTTTCCACCCTCACCATCCTGAGCCAGGAGCTCTGCACTAAAACTGGAGGCAGGAGGACAGCTAAAAGGCTGTGTAGAGAATGGTTGGGAAATGACACCAAAAGCCATTACCCTGAAGTTAAATATGTGACTTCTTTGTTGCATGTAGACAGGGCCTTGACTCATCTAGAAGGAATGGTGGGTACTTACTGCTTGAGATTTTGAAATTCTGGGAATCCTGCAAAATATTTCATGAGCTTAAAATCTTCTTTTTTTCATTTTTACTAGTCAGGATAATAAGACAGTTTTGGTGGGGGAGGAAGAGCTGCAGAAGATGATGAGCAGCATTAGTGTGTGAGTGTGAGGGGTGTTCAGGGGCTCAGAGCTGGAGCCCCCAGCTCTGCACAACCTTCCTTCATTTCATTGGGTAGCCTGGGTTTAGCTCACGTTTGTATTGGCATGTTGGAGTGGGACTTTGGTTCCCAGAGGCTGCATCTTCAGCCTGTTGTGTAGAGGAGATTTACCTGATACGCCCCAAACTGATCTGATTACAGCCATAACCTTGCACCAAATGCCATAAACCCAGCAGCCTTGCCTGGCTGGAGCAGGGAAGGTTTTCTTCCTGCTCGTGCACCTCCTGAAGTGTTTGCTCAGTTTCAGAGCACAAAGGCGATTATATTTTTCAAAAGCCGAGCCAGTAAAGAGAATGTAACCTTGAATGCCTCCTCGCAGGAGTAGTCACATGTGTTTTGATTAACTCAGCACCAGCACCGTACACAAACAGAGCAGTTCTGTGATGCTCACAATTAAAGGGCCTCACGCCAGCCCGGATCTGCCTCTCCTGGCAGAGAGAGACCCCTTCAGTGCACAAACCCTGCAGAAGGGTCTGGTGCCACGGCTTGCAGAGCCCTGCAGCAGCCAGGGCTGGATATGTTACACTGCAAACGGAATGCGGAGACACGGAGCTGCAGGTATTGTGGTTTCACAGTGACCCAGACCTCCTGGAGTCCTTAATAAAACATGGGCTTGTGATTGATTCACACAAATCGCCTCCTGTTACCCAAAGCCCGCTGTTCCACCCAGGAGAGGGCAGCTGGGGATGCTGGCAGAGGGTCCAAGCCCACCAGGGCTTCTGTGACACCATCGTTGTCAGCAACCCCCAGAAATATTCTGAATTTACTCACAGGAGAAGGCAAAGATGCTCAGTGACTTTCACTGGAGGAGTTTGGGCTGGCAGGGTGTGCCCCAGGTGCCCAGGCCGTGTGTCCCGGTGCCACACGGTGTCTAATGCTGCAGAGTGGGGAGGCCACAGCAGCACAGATGTGCCAGGTGTGGGGACAGCTCACCTGGCAGAGGGCAGGGAGGGAAATGGGCAGGACAGCTCCTGGGCAGGGGCTGGCCTGGGCTGAGCCCCACGGTGGCTCTGTGGTGAGGGGTGTCCCCTTCACCCGAGGGGAAGCAGGCTGCTCCTGGTGCCACCTGCCCGTGTCCCTGCTGCCCATGTCCCTATTGCCCATGTCCCTCCTGCTCCTGGTCCCTGCTGCCCGTGTCCCTGCTGCTCCTGGTCCCACCTGCCCGTGTTCCTGCTGCCCATGTCCCTTATTGCCCATGTCCCTCCTGGTCCCTGCTGCCCATGTCCCTGCTGCTCCTGGTCCCTGCTGCCCATGTCCCATCTTCCCTTGTCCCTGTGCCTGTGTCCCTGCTGCCTGTGTCCCTTATTGCCCATGTCCCTCCTGGTCCCAGCTCCCCATGTCCCTATTGCTCCCCGTGTCCCCATCCTCCCTCCTAGCTGCCCAGGCTCCGTGCTTTGGGCCAGGTGAGGCCGTGCTGTCCCGTGCTGTCCCGTGCTGTCCCGGTGCTGCCCCGTGCTGCCCCGTGCTGCCCCGTGCTGTCCCGGTGCTGCCCCGGTGCTGCCCCGGTGCTGCCCGGTGCTGTCCCGGTGCTGCCCCGGTGCTGGGGAGGCAGCAAATCCTGCCGCAGAGGCACGTCAGGGTGTGCGTGTTCTGTTCTGGTGCTGGGGGAACGGGGAGCAAAGCAATTGAAGACTCTCTTCAGGGAAATGTGGATTGTAACAGCAGACTTAATTTTGTGCTTCGCTCTGGTACCAAAGAGCTGATTTCTGAAACCATTTCCCAGCTCGCAACGCATCTCTAGGCATTAAAATGTTGTGAATTTGCTTGTCATTACCAATATTTTCTTTGACTGAAGCTATTGAAACAAAGTGATCTTTTTTTTTTTTCCCTATAACCTTCAATCTTGCTTCTAAAAGCAGTAGCTCTCTTTTTCTCTTTCTTGGTCAAATATAAAAATGATGATAATTTCAAATACTGCTTTAGAATAATTGCTTTCCTCCCTCTTTTGTATGACAACAGAAGCTTGGCCTGATCTTAAATCAGATGCTGGCAGGCAGAGGGCTCTTGACAGCCCTGCAAAATCCTTTAGTTACAAGTCGGCTTTAGCCAATTCTTTATTTGTAAATGACAATTTTCTACAGAAAAATATATGCTTGGGCTTCAATTTTGGAGCCCTAGATTGCAGCCAGGAAAAAAATAATTGAATTTTTACACATTTTTTTTCCCTCCTCTCTTTTTCTTCCTAACTTCAAAAAAAAAAAAACAAACCCAAACAGAAGAAGTGAGGCTGTGTAAGGTGTGGTTGGAGCTGATTGAGGGGATGTCTGCCCTGGCTGATGTGGGGACAGCAGTGACAATTCATTTGTTCTGTGCTGGGAGGGCTCGGGGCTGCTCCAGGCTCTGTGTGTGCCCCAGCCCCGGGGTTTGCCCGTGGGTGTGACAGGGTGACCTCGGCGTGGAGCAGCTCTGCGCCGTCCTCGTGGCCTCAGGAGCCTCACCACAGGCATCTTCAGAGTTTTTAGTGAAAAAGTCAGGAGGTGATGAGCCCTGCAGGCTGATCCCTGTGCCTCTGTGCAAGCGGCAGGTCCTGGCTCTGGAGTTAGCGGCTTTTCCCCTTTTTTCTGGAAGTCTTTTCCCCCAGTTTGCAGAGCTCAGTGCCCAGGTGTGTTGTGAGGTGTTGGCTGCTCCCCTGGGCTGGGCAGGGCTGACTCCAGCAGCTGCAGGGCTGCTCAGAGGGGGCTGGCAGCGTTGTCCTGGCCCTGCCCTCGCTCCCGGGGACCCCACGAGGCTTTGGGATCAGCCCCCCAAGCCGGGCTGGGTTTGTGTGCCTGGCTGGTCCTGCAGGTTCCTGGGGGTTCCTGGAGGGGCTGTCTGCCCTGGGGATGGGGGTTCCACCAGCCTGGGCTCTGGTGGCTGCAGATGCTGTGTCGGCAGCTCTGGCTGTCTTTCATCATTTGATTACTTTAAAAGTAGCGGTGCAAGTTCCTGTTAAACTGACCCGTGGAAACTTAATAACACATCACTTCGATTTGATGTAATTGCCTTCGCCTGCCAAGGAGCATTCAGCCTGTCTGTAGGAAAAGGAGGGGCAAAGGCACCTCTGCTTTGAGACAGTAGCTATGAAGATACAATGCTTGGACTCCTTTTCCACTTTTATTTGCATTGAGAAGCACAATAAAAATCATTTATTAAAAAAAAATATCCGGGGGCTAGAGTTGTTATTGAGAGCCTTTACTCAGCCATCTCTCAAATAAAAACAAAACAAGACAGAGAAAGAAGTATCTAATCAAATTGAATTGAAATTGCTTTTGTAAAGAAGTATTCTCATTATCTGGGTTAGGGACGGGATCTGAAGAATATTTCTTTTTTCCACATATTGTTTGAAATAATCTGGTTAAACCATATGCTTGTCTTGTAATTTCTTACAGATGGTCACAAGAACAAAGAAAATATTTGTAGGTGGATTATCGGCTAATACAGTAGTGGAAGACGTGAAGCAATACTTTGAACAGTTTGGCAAGGTAAGTTCTGCCCAAGTGAGCACTGCATAGTTATTCTTTCTTCCCTTTCTTTTTGAAGTGTGTTTTGAAAAACAAAAGTGCATTGAGGACTGAGCTCAAAGGAGGGCCAAGTTTTTGCCTCTCCGTGTCATTTCTTGAAGCCTCTGGGATTCCTTTTCTGTTTGTTGCTTGTGTGTGTACAACATTGCCAACGCTGTTTACTTCCACTGAGGAAAAAAGCATCACTGGGAGGTGAATCTGTGTCTGTTCAGGAAGAATGTGACCCTTAGCTGGATGATTACACAGTTGTCTTCTCCATAAAATCAGCCTTCTGTTAGCCCCGATTCCAGTGGCAAAAAGGGCAGGTAGACGTATTGGAGAGCTCATTAATTTGTGAAAATGCCTGAAGGAACCACGTGAAAAGCAAGAGTAATGTGGAAGTCACTAGAATATCCACTTAATTTCTTTCTAGAAAATCCTTTTGCAAGTATCTGTAGAATGCTGGCATCATTGAAAAATAAAAAACAACTACCCAAAAAAAAAAAAAAGAAAAATAAAAAAAGAAAGCCAGCAAAAGAACCCCTCACCAAAAGCCCAAAACAAACAAGTTTATGCAGAGAAGGAGGTCTGAACCTTGCCAGAACAGTCTTTGCTCTGATGAAACAGCTCAAGCCCCACTGTCCAGGCTGTGGCTGGTGCTTAGTGACACTGAGAGCTTCCGTGGAGCTCCCTGGGTCCCCAGGGCTTCTGGAAATTGTTCAGGGGTGCCGTGGGTGACGAGCTCACTGAGCTGCCTGCCCTGAGAGCAGTTTGTGGCACCACCTCGTGCCAGCCCCGCTGGCCACGGGGCTCCGTGGGTTCCAGCTCCATGGGTTCCAGCCAGCAGCTCCATTCCTGTCCTTTGGAGGAGCAGGTGATGCTTCAGATGCAGGATTGCGTGAGGACGCAGCAGGGTATCCCAGAGCAAAGCTGCTCCCATTCCTTGTAGTTGGTTTATGTTTCTTTTATCTGCCCTGAAAAGCCTGAGCCAGGCAGGATTTTGTTGAGGGCTGAGGAGGCGAGTTTATAAATGGTTCCTGTGCTGGATTGATAGTTGTTTGTGGGTTCCAGCTCCATGGGTTCCAGGCAGCAGCTCCATTCCTGTCCTTTGGAGTGCAGCAAGTGATGCTTCAGATGCAGGATTGCGTGAGGACGCAGCAGGGTATCCCAGAGCAAAGCTGCTCCCATTCCTTGTAGTTGGTTTATGTTTCTTTTATCTGCCCTGAAAAGCCTGAGCCAGGCAGGATTTTGTTGAGGGCTGAGGAGGCGAGTTTATAAATGGTTCCTGTGCTGGATTGATAGTTGTTTTGCAAACCAGTCATTTTATTTTCAATAATAATCTTCGATTCCGGCAGGATGTTTACAGCCTGCTGAGCCTTTTATTAAAGGATTACACAAGCTTTTGGATGTTTCTTCTGTAGTTACTTCTAATTGCAGAACTCCACTAACCTGTATTTTTCAAGTTAATAATAGTTTCAATATAAGTGCTTTGCATATTGTCTGGATGTTGTCTTAATATAGTCTTTTTAATTTCACCATCTGGTAGTTTCATGCTTGCAATTTTACAGTCCCTGAGAATGCAGCAGCCAGGCTGTGTCTCAGGACTGACTGGGGATTCGGGATGCTTTGGTTCTGCTTTCATGCTCTGCCATTCTTGAGACAGCCTAGCAGAGGTGTGCCTTCCCAAAGGCAATACTTTGGAAAAATCTAGTGTTTTTTTTCTTCAAGTGCCTTAATTTTGCAGGCTAAAAAATGTATGGAGCTGAAATTGCACAAGTTGGGATCAAGGTAGGAGCCCATTGCCATGTCAGCAGAGCTGGGGTTGTCCCCTGAGGCTGAGCTCCTGCAGGGGTCAGGCTGGCAGGGCTTGGTGCTGTCACCCCAGGTGACCAGTGTCACAGTCCCTGCTCCAGCTTGTTCAGGCTGTGTGAAGCTGGTGGTGTTTGGAGCAGAGGCTGCCTGGCTGTGTGACCTGACCTTGGTGCAGGTGGTGCACTGCTCTTTGTCAGCTGGGACACTTTGGTTTCAGGGTGTTTTGAGGTGATCCTCCTCAGGCTCTGCTTGTCAGGAGGTGGTCGGTGACCCTCGGAAATGGGGAGCTGTGGTGCAGCTGAGTTAGAAGAGTTGTTAGCATGCTGTGGTCAGTGGGATGCTGTGTTCAGATACAGGAGCCAGGGCTGGGGCTGCAGGACCTCACAGGAGTCAATCCTTGTCCATCCCCCTTCCCTGCCCCTCCAGGACTTCCTTGCTGGGAGCCAGCCCTGTGAGGCAGGGCCTGTGCTCAGCACACAGCCTGGCTCTCCATCAAGCTCAGATCTTTCTTAAAACAAAGCAAACTGCATTACACAATTAATGTGTGAGGAGCCGCCCTGTTTGGTAAGAGCATCTCAGGTGATTTGCTCTTTGAAATGCTCAGCTTATTTATCAGCGTGGAAAAAATTGCTTCCAGACCTCTGCAGCTCCTGCAGTCGTGTTTGTGCTGGCTGTGGAGGGCAGCAGTGCAGCCAGGGGAGGCTGCCTTGGTGCCTGGGGGTAGCTCTCAGAGCACAGGGCGTGGGGACAGCAGCCACCAGCTTTGGGGCCAGGTGGGCTCACTCGTGTGACTGGAGCTGGCAGGAAGGGGGGAAAGGGTTGGATTTGAAACTGCAGCTTTTTGAAAAGTCAGCGCCAGAACCTTCGTCTCCAAGAAAAGGAAAAGCTTTGGTAGACCCACCAGCGGAAGTGCCTGATGATACAGCACCAAAGTATGTGGCAATTCCTGAAACCTCCCTTGTAAGATTTCTCATAGTGATTATTTTTTCTTTACCTAAAAGCTCAGGAGTCCCAAATTTCCTTTTGGGAAGGTGGGCATCCTTAGCTTCTGTAAGCTGTGGAAGAAAACTGGGAAAAATGACCTGGGTGAAGCCAAAAGCCGTCAGAGAACATGCACAGAAGAGTGCAGTGAGCAGCCCTGTGACTGCCTAGAGCTGCTGGGCACCTGCAGTTGTTGTAGGGCTCCCCAGAGAGGCTTGGCAGGGTCTGGGTGCTGAGGAGGGGAAGGATTCTCCTTCCAGTCATTTCAGGGAGCAGAATCCATGGAGGACATGAGAAGGCTAAGCTGGGAGAGTACCAAACTAAGCCATAAGCATTTACAATCAGAAGAAGAAGGAAAAAAAACCATTATGTTACTCCAGATCCTGACAGTTGTTTGCTGGATCCTCTCCTGTTTCAGTCAAAGATGTTTCAAACATTCTTACAAACAAAATAAATCCAATGTCCATGTTGACCTGTCTGGGCTCTGCAGCATTGCCCTTGTGCTGAGTGTGAAAAGCTGCTGAGACCAGGCTTTAAAAGAATTTAAATGAGAAGTGTTGGAGCTGAGGAGACCCAGGGATCTCAGTGGGGCTGGCATTCCTCCCCTCTGGAGGGGCCATGGTACTGCCAGGGGCTGCAGATCTGCCTGCTTCTGGCTGTTGGAGGGGTAGGAAGCATGGAGCTCTGAGACTGGGACATGCTGGAGCATTTAAGGCATTGTTTAAAAAAGGGGGAAAAAAAAAGCAGCAGACTCCTCAAGCCTCACCTGGAATCCTGTGAGCAGCAGAGGAAAGCTGTGGGTGCTGTGGGCTCTCAGGACGTGCATGTCCTGCACGTGGGGCTGCAGCAGTGCCCAGGCAGGGCTCAGTGTGCCCAGGTGTGCCCAGGTGCTGCTCCCTGCACAGCTCCTGCAGCAGCAGCCCAGCCTTGTGCAATCACACTTCACATGGCCAACTGTGTAATTAGTTTGGAAGACTTATGCCTAGTCATTGGTTTATCCTAATCGGCTTTGGCTTTTCCCAACAACAAAGTGAGCTTATTTTCCTAAGCTGAAACAACTCTGCTCCCTTTGTTCCTCTCTTTTATTGTCTCATTCCTTTCATTCTGTTTTACTGCCAAAGTTTTGTTTCATTAGGCCTACAAGTCATTTCCAATCCAGTGGGCTGCTACAATAAGGCCTTTATAGCTCAGCTGCCCTGGTTCCCATGTCCCTGCTGGTCCAGAGCCAGGACTTGCTGTTTGACATGGGATTTTAACCCTTTGGCTGCCCCAGCTGCTGCTTCCCCCTCGGTGGGGCCGAGGCAGGCTGAAGCCCTGGTGGCTCATGGGTCCTGATGATTGCGTGCAGGCATTAATTGATGGGGTAATGAGCTGCAGGTAACGCCTTTGGGCCCAGTAATGGGAGCAGAACTCTGAGTAAAAACCTTCTTACTGTAATGAGTCGTGGTGGCAACAGTCCTGGGAATGAAAAGGCCACTGTGTCCTTCCAGCAGGGTGGGAACAGTTCTGGTGAAGGTATGTTCCAGTTGTCCTGAGCTATTAGATCAGCCCATGTTGGACTGTTCTTGTAGAAAAATCACATTTTCTTGTGTAGGAGAGAACACAAATTTCAATTTATCCTTTTTGGAGCCAGAATGGTGATGTTTGAAGGAGATGGGTGAAGCAGTTTTGTGGACACACAATACTTTTCCATATTGCTGTTTCAGAGTGCTGGAGGAGCAGTCAGTGCTGCTGGTGGTCCCAGATGTTTTACTTTCAATCTGAGAGCACTGGCTCTTCAATTTCCCTTTCACAGTAATCCTAAAGTGACTTTCATGGAAAGGGGGCCCTGGCACTTGTTTTTTATTTTAAATTTCCAGATGAAATTGGACCAGACCAGCATGCATGAGTTTTGTGTTCTGCCCTGTCTTGCTACGAGGTCCCTCAGACCTATCATAGCCACGTTTCAGCTTCACTTGGAATATGCTGTTTCCTTAGGAATGGCTTTTAAAATATGGAAACTTTGAGACAAGACAGGATTCCTGAATTACCTCTGTGGATTTGAAATGTTTTGTACAATCACTTGTTATTTCCTGTGAGACACAGAACAGACCAGTGGAATAATAATAATATCTGAATTCTGAGATGGGTTTTTTTTTCTCCTGTTGAGCTTTTGAAAATGTGTAGCTTTCTCATCTCTTCCTTCTGTA